ATCTAGATTATTTTCTTCTTTTTCTGATTCTACTTTCTTAAAAAAATAAATAAAATGAGATGTTTATAGCATTCTTGGAATTGGCTTTCCCTTTGTATTTTTGAGCTTACCTCTCCTGAGGATCTTAATGGTGGCCTTGTCTTAGCCCTTCTGTTTAGTGTAGTCTAAAATGGTGTTGGGTCATGAGTTGAAGAAAGAACAATTTGATGCTAAACTGAGATACAGAGCATACATACAAGGACTGTATTTTATAAATGTAAAGTTATGGGTGAGGGGGCTGCAATTACTGATTAATCCTGAATGATGTACATATTTTATGGATAGATTCCCAGTCAGAAAATAGAGTAGGGGTCTGAAATTGCACAATGAAATATACGTTGCGTTCAAAGTCTCCTTTCTCTTCACTCTTAATGTTGTTTTAAAGCTTGAGTCATGCCTCACTTCTTTCTCAGAGTCCTCCTTTGTATAAGGGGGGAGAGAACAGTCACTGGTGTTGCTGCTTCACAGGGATGTTATAGAGAGGAATTGCAACTCACTGTCATCAAATCATAACTTACTCATAATTCACGCTCCAGTTTTCTTTTTTTCTTTTTAATTTTTTTTAATTATTATTTTGTGTGTGTGTGTGTGTGTACCGTCAAATCAGATCTGACTGGTACAGGAGGAGATTGTCCCTCCTTCCCCGGCAGAGCATTTGGTGGGTTCTAACCATGCGCCTCTGGGATTGTAGTTGTAGTTCCTTGCCACTAGGCCACCAGAGCTCCCCAAACGCTCCAGTTTTCAGAGGCTGTAAATCACACACAGGAAGAGGCTGCTCAACTTTCTTCCAAGGAGCCACTAGTAGATTCAAATCACCTGCCTTTGCTTTGGCAGCTCAGCTGTTTAGGCCACCAGAGCTCCCTGAGAAGGCTCTAATTGAGTATTATTTAATTTTGATCTGTTAAACTGAAGATGTGAGAAAACTGCAGTTTGGGTTAGGCCAAAGGCTTCTGAAACAAAAGAATTTAGAATAAAAAGGAGTGAGTGTACCCTTTCATTGAGGACAGAAAGTCAATTTATTACTAGGGTTTTTTTTACCCTAGACTATACTTCAACACTAGCTATACTTGCAGGATTTTTTTCCCCACAAAAAAGCAAGTTTACCCAACAGAGTATTTAGTCAAAGAGGAAAGTACAGGAAAAAAGTTCTGATTATGTCTGATGTTTAGATGAACCCCAAAATGTTCAGCTTTACAAAGATAGGTTAAATAAGATGAAGAAACAGGATTTTCAACTTTAGTCGTATTTCTGCCTATTTTGATGCATTTTTGCAACTAACCCCTAGATCCCAAACATTTTTAATTGTAATCTGCATGCAAAACATTAGGGAAAAAAATTGCCACTGGTCAGAGATGGTAGAAGCTCTCAAGCCTGGCAATTAGACACCTCCTAGTACGTAGAACTGAATCACCTTCTGGACTGAATGTGAAGGGTTCCTCTCAATTTGAATGAGTGGATGAGGTGATACTGAAATACAAGAGATCATTGGGGAAGAAGAGGGGAAAGTCCTATTTTAAAAATAATGTGGAATGCCTGTGCAACCTCCAGAGGGAAGTACAGGGAAAGATAGTATTAAATAAAAAAATAAGTATTAGATACCTATGGGAGGGAGCTGTAACTGGAGAAAGCTGAGGATCATTGGTGTATCCATAATTCCTGAAGTCATATGGATGCTAATGTTGCTATTGTTCAAGCAACTATTTTGGACAAAAGTCATAAATTCTGTACTAGGTGACCATTTGTGAATCTAAGTGTGTGCTGCTAAAGAGATCCTGAATAACCCACTGGGGCCGATCATCTACATTGCATCAGCATAGATGCTACACTAGAAAACCTTATATAAGAACTTTCAAGGGCCATTATCCAAATTGAGAAAGCTATGCCCAACAGAGCATCAAGAACAGGTTTGAGAGATTAGGGGTGTGGCAAATTTCAGTAACTTGACTAGGTCAAACAGGTCCTACACAGCAAGAGCAGAAAGTGACTCTACAGCTTTACTATGCCTGTTTCTATTCGGTGTAATCAAGTCGATTCCAACTCAACATTGCCCCACAACTGAATGAAACTCTAGTGAATCTTATTCCTGTCTTTGAGTACATTGTTGCACCCACTGTGTCCACCCATCTTGAGGATCTCCCTCTTTTTAAAAAAATTATGATGTCACAGTATTGGGCAGGGCTTAGATCTGAACCTTGCGCTATCCTGGGCCAGTCACTTTCTGACATCTGCTCCCATTACCATGTCAGTTTAGTTCATCTCATCCAAGGTCTTCCTCTCCTCTGAACCTCCACCCTTCCAAGCATGATGCCCTTCTCTTGGCAACATGCCCAAAGTACGTGAAATGGATTTTCAAAACCCTTGCCTCAAGGGAGCTCTGGTTGCCCAGTGGCACGAAGCTGCACTGTAATCCTGAAGGTGGGTGGTTCGAATCCAACAGATGATCTGCTGGAGAAGGAGAGGCAATCTCCTATGTCAGATCTGATGTGATGGTACAAAAAACTCCTTGCCTCTAAGGAGCAGCCTGGTTTCACCCTCTCTAGGACAGACCTATCTGTTCTCTTGGCAGTCCACAGTGTGTACAAGTTCTTCTCCAGCGAGTCATCCTTAGTTACCATCTAGCTCTCAGATGCACAGCAAACAGAAGACCAGCATATGGATATTAATTCCATCCCTAGTAGCATAATACAGGGTATATCTTGACATAGTCTGACAATTAATGTGATGTTCTCTTCAATTTGTCACTCTTTTTTTTTAAAAAAAATATTATTTTGTGTGTATGTACCGTCAAATCCAATCTGACTGGTACAGGAGGAGATTGTACCTCCTTCTCCAGTAGAGCATCTGGTGGATTCGGATCTTGTACCTCTGGGATTGCAGTGCAGCTTCTTGCCACTAGGCCACCCAATTTGTCACTCTTGGCATGTTGTTATTGTTAAATGTCCACGGTGAGCTCTGGTGGCCTAGTGGCAGGAAACCACACTGCAATCCCAGAGGTGCGTGGTTCAGATCCACCAGATGCTCTGCTGAAGAAGGAGGAACAATCGCCTCTTGTACCAGTCAGATCCAATTTGACAGTACACACATAAAATAAATAAATAAATAAAAATTATTTTTTTAAAAAAATGTCCAGTTGGGACTGACTCACAGCTGACCTTCTAGCAGGTTTTAGAGTCTTTAAAACACACAGGATATTGCCTATATTCTCCCACGGAAAAGCTGATGGATTCAAACCTCCTTCTGTTGGGTTGGCAGGGTAGCTTCTTACTACTAGGCCACGAGAGCTCAACATTTTTGGCATAGTTAATACTGTCGGACTCAAAGTGGCCAATATAAATTCATTTTGTTAATGCATATTGTTGTTAGGTGCCAACAAATCAAGTATGACTCATAGTGACCCCATGAACAGTAGATCTGAACCCTATCTTTGCCATCCTTGCTCCAGAGGGCACTTTGGCTTCGCCTCCAAAATATGTTTGTTCTTTTGGCAGTCCATGGGACTTTCAGTACTCTAGTCCAACACCCGAATTCCAAGGCATCAATTATTATTCTGTCATCCTTATTCATTGTCCAGCTCTAAGACACATAGCAAGATGCACTTCTCCTTGGTAATTTGGAGAGATCCCTGAGTTCAGACTTGCCCAGTGCAATATTTCTCCTGATCTCCCAACTGTTGGTACCAAGTGTATTGCATGTGGATCCAAGTAAGATGAAATCATTGATAGTTTCAATCCTTTCTCAATCTATCATGATGTTGCCTAATGGTCCAATGGTGAGAATTTTTGGTTTCTTGATGTTGAAATGCAATCCATATTGAAGGGTTCAGTGTTTAATCGTCTACAGCTAGTACTTCAAGTCCTCCTCACGGCAAAGTTGTGTCATCTGTATAACAAAGGTTACTGATGAATCCTTCTCCAATCCTGATGCCACATTCTTCTTCATAGAGTCCAGCCTCCAGAATAATTTGCTCAGCATACAGACTGAATAGGCATGGAGAAAAGAGACAACCCCGCCCCATGCCTTTCTTAATTTTAAACCATATAGTGTCCACTTGCTTTTTGCACAATGGCTACTCTCCCATATTACCAGCAGTGTTTGAGCATGGAGAAAAAAAGATTGAGGTTCTGATTGGAAGAATTTGAAGAAAGAATGTGGATTTGTCTTCTGGTCCATGGGGTCACCTGAACACCCTGAAGTTCAGCTTGTTTGACCTGCAGCTTATGATCTGGATCTATGGGTTCTATTCCACACTGGGAGGGAGCTGCAGGTCTAAAGGAAGCCTCCAGAAAGCAGGCGACAGTGGCACAGCTGGGAGGTAGGGCACGTCTCTGCCCACATGTCCTGGCCTCTCATACCTTTTGGCCTCAATCTCCCACAGACACTGACCTCTGTGTCCATGGACCTCCTCTGATGGGCCTGAGCTGAGCCTGAGTGCTGTCTTACACATGCTGAATAATTTACATCCTGGTAGCCTGAGGTGTAGGTTTCAGTTGCTCTGTTCCCATGAGTGTCCCTAATCCTGTAATTAAGCTAATAAAAGTCTATGCCTTGGACCCTTCAGGGGTGATAAGATAGACACACCTGCTGAGACCGCACCAGGTTACCCAAGTGTGCAGGTGTGGAGAATGGGAGGGTGGGGGGATCAAAGGAGGCTTAAACAGTATAGGAGAAAGTGAATGGAAACGAGAGAGGAAGATCAAGTTGGAAGCAGGAAAAGAGACCAAGACAGAGTTAACAGGAAAATACAAAAGGAAATCATCAAAGAAAGAGGGTGAGAAGGGTGCAGAAGGTAGAGAAGGAGAAGTCTCGAAGGAGGAGCAGACCTGAGAAGCAAGGGCAGGCACAAATGCAGGGCCAGATGTCAGGACATTTCCCTCGGAATAGCAGGACCCAGCAGTGACTGCAGTCTTCTGCTTTCCAGAGGAACTAATAGAGGCCAAGAGACTTCACATACAGAGACCTGCCCACCTCTCATTGCAGCTGTGACCATGGGACACGGGAATCATCACCACTTCCTGGGCTCCAACCCGAGCTTTCTGCTCCTGCTCCTGCCAGGTATGAAGCTAGCTCAGTCTACCCACCATCCTTAATCTCTCCCATCCGCCTGCCCTTCCTAATTTTCTCCCCATATAGTCCTTACCTTTCTCTTCTGTACCTGCCCTATGAACAAACTCTATTTGGGAAGAAGGGGGGAGAAGTGAAGAGGATAAGAGAACAGTTGCCTGGTTTGAGTGAGAGCAGTGAGGGGGCGATTCCAGGGACAGGACTAGGGAAGGCTGTGAGGTCAGATCATGAAAGGCCTTGAATGTCAGGCCTTTGGGCTTTATTTTAGAGGTGTCAAGTAGCTTACCAGCCTGATCAGACTGACACATTCAAAGCCTGATCTATCAGAGTTCCTGGGTAGGAAAAACATTAATAGATTTGGCTGCTAACCCAAAGACTGGGGTCCAAATCTACCCAGAGGCTTTTCAGAAGAAATACCTGGCAATGTATTTCTAAGAACCAGTCATTGAAAACCCTGAGAGCACTGTTCCACTCTCATACACACTGTGTGTGTGGCATGAAAACTTGGAAAGAGGGTGTTCTTAGGGGGAGTAGCCCATAAATATTAAGCTTTGAAGATACAAATTAAGTACAGAAACCAACTGAACTGTGGCAGTGAAATGGAAATATTGTGGAGAAACTAACTGGGTATGGTACGAGAGTTCAGAATGCCTTGGTCAAAGTTTGGGCTCCCATGGTATTTTTGGGTCCCTCAGTGGTGGTCCCTAGCCCGTGCAAACAGTTTACATGTATGGCTGCAAACCAGAAAGTCAGAGGTTTGAGTCAATCCAAATGCACCACAAAAGAAAGGCTTGGTGATCTTCTGAGAAAAGCAGCTATTGTTAACTATGGAGCATGGTTTTACTCTGACACGCACTCTGAGTCCCAGGAGTCAGTTGGACCCAATGGGGCAAGGCAGACAGAAGAATTCAGATCCTTGGAAAGGGTAGAGTGGAGCAGAAGCCTCTAGTCAGCTAAGATGCAAGAAACTTTTAGATGAGATGGGAGACGGAACCAGCCAGCCTTTTGGTATTTATTCCATTCATGCCTAGAAGCAGTTCAAATAAGGAAGTGAGATGTAACTAGAGGGACGGGTTAGACATCAGAGGATAATGGTGCAGGAGACAGGAACTCAACATCGAGGAGATAAGGGAAGAGAGGTTCCTGGACCCAAGCTATGGCTGGGTCTTCTTGCTGGTCTCCTAGGGTGCTTAGGAGCTGAGGGCAAGCTGGCTCACAAGCTGTTTCGCGACCTCTTTGCCAACTACACAAGCGCCCTGCGACCTGTGGCAGACACGGACCAGACACTGAATGTGACCCTGGAGGTGACACTGTCTCAGATCATTGACATGGTACGTTGTGGTGATGATTCATCTGTGGAGTGTGCCTTTTAACAGTGCCAAGGAATGAGGATTATAAGAGACTGGGATTGTTTTCCAAACAATTCTGTGAACTTTAATATTAACAATGTTGTTGTTGATTGCCTTTGAGTCAAACACAACTCATAGCAACCCTATGAACAAAAGGCCTGAAGCCTCTCTACAACTATTGACATTTATTAAAGTTCATAGAGTTTCCAAAGGCATGTTGTTTAGGAAGTGGATGCCACTCCAGCTGCCAATTGTTGTGTGCTTGCAATGCATCCAACACCCCGCACACTTGATTGCACTGAGTTCCTGCTAAGCAGGGATTATCACCCCATGTTACTGCTCAGAAAACTGAAGCCTGGAGAAGACACAGCAGGGTCAGGTCTCGGTAGGAACTGGTATATGGGCAGGTCAGGCTTGTGGGGACTAACCAGAGCTCTGGAGGTGTATACATGTGTCCATACTGCTACCCTCTGCCTGTTTCCCTCTAGGATGAGCGGAACCAGGTGCTGACCCTGTACCTGTGGATCCGACAGGAGTGGACAGATGCCTACCTGCAATGGAACCCAGATGCCTACGGTGGCCTGGATGCCATCCGCATCCCCAGCAGCCTTGTGTGGCGGCCAGACATCGTGCTCTATAACAAGTACTGCTCACCTGGGCCCCTACCCTCTCCTGCCTCTCCCTACAGTTGTATTTGGCTCTAGGCAATGTGACCAGTCCCACTAATACCCAGTCTAGTTTCTGTGCTGTCCTGGAAGCTGTTCATGTCCCTCAGGACCCTTCTTAGCTTTCAGGAGCTCACGACACCTCCACTTTGGCCTGTCCCAGGTCAACCTACGCCCAGTGCTGTGTTTTACAGAAAGAGGCCTGGTTCACAAGGGCCCCATTATGGCACACTGTACTTTTCCAGGACAACTCTAAGTCCCTTTGAGCTCCTTTAGGGGTCAACCTAGAAATCTATGTCTTCCCATGCTTAAACCTTCTAGAGTTTTCCTCAGTGATCCCTAGCCTAAGAGGGCTCTGTGTATCCAGGACTACACTGGGCTCTGTTTCTTTTCTCTAAGGTCCCGTCAAAGAGCTTTCCAGATAAATATTTTTTTAATTATTTTATTATTTTTTTGTGTGTATACCATCAAATCAGATCTAATTGGTACAGGAGGAGATTGTCCCTCCTTCTCCAGCAGAGCATCTGGGGGATTTGAATAGTGCACCTCTGGGATTTCAGTGCAGTGCCTTGCCACTAGGCCACCAAAGCTCACTCCAGATAACTCTTAAACTTACCCCATGTGTGCCACCTCTGGATTGTGTAGAAGCCTTTTTACACACACATTGGCCCAGACCTAAGTCTTTTCTGGATCCTTGGTTTCATTTGTTCACAGGGCAGACGCACAACCTCCGGCCTCGGCCAGCACCAACGTGGTTCTGAGGCACGATGGGGCCGTGCGCTGGGACGCACCTGCCATTACGCGCAGCTCCTGCCGCGTGGACGTGTCCGCCTTCCCGTTCGATGCTCAGCGCTGCGGCCTGACCTTTGGCTCCTGGACGCACGGCGGCCACCAGCTGGATGTGCGGCCACGGGGCAGCGCCGCTAGCCTGGCGGACTTCGTGGACAACGTGGAGTGGCGCGTACTGGGCATGCCGGCGCGGCGGCGCGTGCTCACCTACGGATGCTGCTCCGAGCCCTACCCGGACGTGACCTTCACGCTGCTGCTGCGCCGCCGCGCCGCCGCCTACGTGTGCAACCTGCTGCTGCCCTGCGTGCTCATCTCGCTGCTCGCTCCTCTTGCCTTCCACCTGCCAGCTGACTCGGGTGAGAAGGTGTCGCTCGGCGTCACCGTCCTGCTGGCGCTCACCGTCTTCCAGCTGTTGCTGGCCGAGAGCATGCCACCGGCAGAGAGCGTCCCACTGATTGGTGAGCATGTGGGCGCATCCCCACCCAGCCCTAGCTCATGTGCATGTGGCTCCTCCACAAGTGCGGGGTCCTCCAGCCTAAGCAGAGCCCGGGGAGAGTGATGTCCTTCATCCTAGAGTGGCCCCCGCCGTGGGGGTGTGAGAGGTGTGAGAGGAGGTGCTCCCATTTGGAGAATGAGGAGGAAGGAGTAAGCCCCTACTAGGAAAAACAGTCCTTACCTGCAGGGGTAAGTGGTTCTTCCTCCAGGGACTTGATGGGGAGGGAGGAACTATCATAATAATAGATAAGATGTATTGCACAACACTCCTAATCACTGGATATTTATTGAGGTTAAGCATCACCATAACCTAGGAGGTAGATTCTACGTTATCTCTGTTGTATAGAAAGGACTAGTAACTTCTGCAAGGTCATGCCTCACACCATTGAAGAACAGGACTCTCATGGGCTAAGAGCGAGTGCAGCCTCCGGCAACATGGGGACAGTTGAGGAGCAGGGAGCTTCTGAGAACGGGCTTGTGGGAATGATGGATGGGAAGACCCTTCCCTCTTCCTGCTTCCATCACAGGATGTTGAGGATCTGGCTAGGCTTCCTCCCCTTTGTGCCCTGGTGGCTGGGAAGCTCAGGCCTTCTGAGTTTCTGTTGTGCTCTTTCACTGACTGCAGGGAAGTACTACATGGCCACTATGACCATGGTCACCTTCTCCACGGCACTCACGATCCTCATCATGAACCTGCATTACTGTGGCCCCCGTGCCCGCCCAGTGCCAGCCTGGGCTCGAACCCTCCTGCTGGGACACTTGGCACGGGGCCTATGCGTGCGGGAACGAGGGGAGCCCTGTGGACGATTCAGGTCACCTGAATCGCCTCCGAGTCCCCAGCCTCCTGATAGAAGGGCTGACCCCTTAGCAGGCCCTTGTCACGAGCCCCGGTGTCTGTGTCACCAGGAAGCCCTGCTTCACCATGTAGCCACCATTGCCAGCACCTTCCGCAGCCACTGGGCAGCCCAGCGCCGCCATGAAGACTGGAAACGCCTGGCCCGTGTGATGGACCGCTTTTTCTTGGGCATCTTCTTCTCCATGGCCCTGGTCATGAGCCTCCTGGTGTTGGTGCAGGCCCTGTGAGAGCCGGGACTGTGACCTGAAGGTCTGCTGCAGCCACAACAACTCACTACAGAGGAGACAAAGGTTCTGATGGTTGCGGGCCTTCAGAACTTCCAACTAGTCTCTCACCACTGTCCCTACAAGCCTGAAACACTCTCTTCAAAATCAGCACCACCAGCCTCCTAAATCACAAGAGGGCACTTGTCGGTTACACACCGTAAACTCCAAGGGAGGTACATAGCTCTTCTATTGACTTAATTCCTCAAGAAACACAAATAAAATCAAAGCATACTCTTGGAGATACAGAATTAAACTTCCATACAGTTATTAGATCAGAAACAGCTGCCACATTTGTTCCCTTCTCTACTTAACCACTGCTGGTGCAGGAACTTGCCTGTCTTTGCCTTTGGAATTGAGGGAAGGCAGGCTGGGGACTCTTGAGCTAGTTTCTAGACCAAGAGACCATTCAGAAATTTGGTACCAAATCTTCAACTCATAATAAAGAAAATGTGTGCCTAGCACCTCCTCAATGTCCTATCTTGTCCTTGGGACCCCTGGTGGGGGAAGTTGGGGATCTTGGTTTGGCTTTGTACAGACAAGAGCCTTGGGATTCATGGAACAGAGCAGAAGTTTCATGCATACTGACAAGAAAGTCCACTGGGAATTTATTGAGACTGTGCCAGCATCGAAGCTCTCAGCCATCTCTCCTGTGCGCCATTCTATTCACACACATTGACCTTCTAAAAGCTCAAAAATGTCTAAGATAAAGGCCACCATTTACAAAGTGCACCCACTCCTCACTTTAACAACATGGTAAACTTCCAAAGACCATGTAGTTATGTGAAGATGGAGGGTGACCAGAGCACTGTATACCTGCCACATGACATCGCCACATAGCTGCCACAGCACCAAGAATTATGGCCCAACCAAGAGCCATGAAACCTTAACTATCACAGCTCATGCTAGTCTCAGTTTTCCTCAGCATTACCTTGGGATTCGTTATTGCCAGAGGTACATTGTGCAAAATCTTAGAGTAGATTTTCAGTATTGTTATAAATGTGATATGCTGAATAATGAGATAGTTGATAAGCGAGGAGTGGGTATATTTGTTCCTTTCTAATTGTCATTCATTTCTTGGCATTTCCTCTGTAGGGCCTTGGGACTCTGATGGATAATGTCCAAGCTCTGCCTTCAGAAAGTTCACAGACAGACATGGGAGACAGACAAAGACACATAGTATAGCAAGTTCCAAGGGCCTCTGGGCTTACGGAGGTAGGACTCCTAACTGCTAACTCCCGGAGGAGCAATTAGGAATTTGCCAGGTGGGCACACGAGGCATTGGAAATAACATCAGCAAATACCAGTAAGTGCTTTCTTTCAGTCATCCCCTAAACTAATTGAAGTCACTTCTGTCTCCGAGTAACCTGCTGTCCATCCCTGTGTCCCCACCACTACACAAAGCCTCTGGGAGCCTTACTCCTACAGCCCTGGGTAAGGCTCAATGCCAACATTCTCTCTGTTTCTCCACCAGCAGGCAAGTTTCCACAGATGGTCTCAGAGCTCTCAGTATATAGAATTACTGGAGATCTTGGCTACACTTAACACACACACATGGTCAGCATCTTCATTCTGGGCAGACGTGGTGGGCAGGGCTGCTGAGTGTCTGCTAGATCAGAGGAGTCCTGGGCCCTCTGGAAAGGCCTCCACCACAAGGAACCAGAGCAGCAGCAGGAAGGACCAGACTCCAGAGAGGGAACCTGGACCCATGGCTGCAGGGAAAAGAAGACAGCACAAGGTGAGAGATGAAAAGAGTTATATAAAAAAACACGGTGAAGGGAGACAGAGTGAACTAGAATGGTTAATTCACAAAGTACATGGGAGGTGGGAATGCAGTACAAGAATTCAGGGAGGAAAGTGGACAAGGATGAAGAAACTAGGGAAATGCATCCACAGCACCTCCAGACAGGAATGGCAAGGACCTTGGTAGTTGTTGCCCTCAGATCTCCTAACAAGTCTCTCTGCACTGGCCCTAAGAGCCTGGGACATCCTAGTTTACAGATCAGCACCTTCGGCTTCACAAGCCACAGTTCCCTTTCCAGAGGCCATTAAATCCAACCAAGCTACTTTTTATTCACACGAGGGAAACATTGCAGGGAAGGACAGAATATGGAGTAGAGATCTGAGTGTGAACGAGTGATGCTCAGATTTGCTCGTCAACCCAAGCCTTGGTATGAGAGGTGCTGAGGAAACACGGGGCAAAAATCCTAAACTTTTTTCATGCCTGAAATGATGCCATCAGAACTTAAAGAGGAGGACTGGGACCGAGGGTGAAGATCTGACTGTGCCAGTAACTTACTCTGTCACTTCACACAAGTCACTTCCATCTCTGGGGCTCATTTTACTATAACAGCAACTCAACTCATTGCCATCGAGTTGGATCTGATGCATAGCTGATCCTCAAGTGGGTTTTCAGAAGTGTTAAATTACATGGGAGGAGAATGCCCACCTTTCATCCAGGGAGATGCTGGTAGATTAAAATGGCCGAGGGCGCTGCCTTTGGGCTAGCAGTGCAGCCCTTCAGACTACAATGCCAGAGCTCCCTCTATCTTATTATTTTTTATAAACTTTTAAAAAATTATACTAGTTTATTTACAAAATTTGAATCCATTGTTTTTCAGATCAGATTCTTGTGTGATAAAATGAGATTTTTGGGGGGAAGTAGGGGAGTCAGCCTGTGGGGTATGGTTCAGAGTTCATTCTAAAGCCAGACTCTAGATTTTATCCCTTTCTAGTTGTGCAACTTAGGGATAGTTACACGATTTATTTGTGTAGAACAAGGATAGTTAGTAATGGTAGCACCGTCCGGGTTGTGCCGAGGCAGATTGCTGACATGATGTCCCTGGTTCTCAGGTCACATGTCATGGAGAATGGTAGGAACAAAGTTCCTATGCTGTTCACAGAAACTGAGCAAAGAAGAGATTCAAAGAGAAAAAACTGCTCGGGGCTTTGATTTCTTCCTGGTAATAACCTGTTCCAGCACAATCCTCTGGGGAAACCTATTCCCACCTGGAGAAATGGACAGAGCTGAAATAGAGTTGACTTAGGTGAGCCCTGACACAGTATGTATTCAAGGGAAGATAAGATAAACTTTCATTAAAATTAATAATAGTAATAAAAGAAAGGTAAAAGTCACAGCTGAAAGGGACCTGGGCATCATCTAGTCCAATTTGCCTATTATATAGATAGGGCAAGAGAGAGATGAAGCCCAGAGAAAGCAGGAGTGTTCAGAGAGAGAAGAGGGCAGAATTTCTAGCACCCAAGGCCTGGACTGGACTTTGGAAAGAGGGTCAGAGAAGAGACCAGAATCCAAAAACAGGCACAGTGAGCTCTGTGTGGCTTTCTCTGAGGGAAGGGGAAGATCCAGAATGAACAACATGTGTATTGGCTCCCTTCTGACACCAGGTTCTGTACATATGTATATCTGAGTGAGGAACTGGCCCAACCCCACACTATCCCCACACGGAGCCCCCAGACACTTGTAATCCTTACCTGAATTATATGGACGGCAGGGCCCAGCCTTGCACTGCTTATCTAGAGGAAAGAAATAACAAGAATCAAATATTCAAGAGCAGTCAGGGCAAAAGGGTCCTCAGAGGCCTGACCATCAGAGCCTGACTCAGCCAAGGAAAAGATGGTGAGTTTTCCTTAACTACTCCTTTCCAATGGGTCTTCACTTGACTAAGTTGGGCTTGGGCTTGGCCTTGGCTGTCAATGTCAAGGTTCACCCTGGGCACTCCTGTTCACAGGGCCTGCTACTCTGCTCCCCCACCACACCAGTCTTTCCTTTTCCTGCCCTCTTCTGGCCAAGGAGGGCCTAGTTTGTTATTTTTGCACGTCTTCCTCCATTATCCCATCCTTTGCTATGCAAAGTGAGAAATGAAGCCATCCTGGACCTCCTCCTGCTTTAGATGTCGCCCAAAGTTCTGGCCAACAACCTGCCGCTAACTATGAAACTTAAATATCACTGGCTCCTGGAGACTGCTCAGCAGAGGACAGCAGTTCCCATTCAGAGAATAAGAACCTGAGCCAATCCTGATGGTTGCTTCTGACTGGAGTTTCTGAGGTCTGCCATAGCCTGGACAGCGCTTAAGGCCAAAGCACCCAAATGCTCTGTTTCCCCACCTCTAGACACACACTATACCTGACAATTCTAGTCAAGCTAAAAAATGAGTTTTCAGAAACTGAAGAGCTCTCATTTGTTCTGGCACCAGAAATCTGGGTATCAGGATGAGGCTGGAATTTCATCTCCTTTTAGCTTCCATATGACAAAAATCTTTACCAGGTCTACTAGTCATGTTGAGTGGCCCTAGACCCCAGCCGTGGTCAAGAACATTTTTCATTTTCTCAAGAAGCAAAGGTATTGGTGATAGCAATTAAAAAATAATAATAATAAATAAAAAGAGGTATGTATCCACTGTGGCAGAGCTTGGAGTGTGGGAATGTTAGGTGAGATGCCTCCAAGGACAAGAAGCCAGGACTTCTGACTGACCAATTCAGTCCATCCAGTACAACCCTGTGCTGAAAATTTGCCTTTTCACACCTGTATCCTAAATCAGAATCCATATTTTAATGATTCTTAAGTATTCATATTAAATTATTATTTAATCATTAATTATTTAATAAATAATTATTTATTATTTAGTCATGGTCTCTAGAGTGGAAAGGCAAATTCTAAGTAGGATATGAACTGGAATGAGTTGGTTTGAAGCCCTGAAAACAGCAAACTACCTGGGAATGTCAAGGTAGAAGGAGTTGTAGGGTCTGTGGACATGACTGGGTCTGCCTCACTATTTTAATATTTATGCTTGTATCCCTGAGAACTCTGGGGTTAAAGGCTTGGGTTTGAAGACCTGGAAAGCCCACCTTCCACCAAACCAAGTGTCCAGCCTCACCTTTAATGTACTCGCAGTTGTATGTACTGCGTTTGCCCAAAGCCCGCAGGTAGATCCGGGCAGGGCCCTGGGCGGGTCGGCTGGCATTGATAACCTGGAAGGTCTCAAAGGGCGGTATCAGAACCTCCTCCTCCCCAGGGAAGAAAGAGTAGCCCTTGATAGGCGCCCCAAGACAGGTCCAGATTCCAAAGAAAGTGTCCTGACCAAAATTCTGGGCCGCAGCATTCTGCAGGGATGCAGAGGCGAAGCCCCCGAGCCTCACGGTGGCCCCAGGCCCCGAGGGCCGGAAGCGCAGTCCAGTCACCCCTCTGAACACCTGGCGGCACTGGCCCCTGCCCAGCAGCTGCAGGGCCTCGGTGAGCAGGAAATGGAGTGTCTTGAAGGAGAAGTGGTGGAGGTAGTGGTTCCGGGAGCGGCCGGCCTCGCGCACCGCGGCATTGAATTCCTTGTGCAGGGGGCTGTTGGCTGTGTAGGCCAGGAGAGCCACCCCGTGCTGGTCTCGGAACCCCGGGGGCACAGGTGCGCGAGTAGCGCTGAGGCTCCACTCCGGCCCCCAGGCCTGGCGCTCCTGCCACTGGCTGCTGGCCAGCACCCACCCGTCAGCATACACTTTGTTGGCCTGAAACTCCGTGCGGTTGAGATCCGGGAGAGCTGCTGTCATGGCCACTGCACAGCCAGCATACTGGTCATCGAAGGAGGCCAAGGCCATGTCCAGGGGCATTTCTTGAGAGAACAGATGTCGTCGTGTGATGGGGTGCTTCTGGGCCTGCAGGGAAGGGAGCTTCAATGCCAGAGAATGGGACTCGCCACTAAGACAGGTCCTAGGGCCCCAAAAACTCGAAGAGGAGGGAAACTAGGAACCATAGGCTGCAAATTTGCTAAGACCAAGGGAATCTGTCACTTTCTCTTTCCTTTATTTCTTTCATAAGTTTGGAAAAATCCAACAATCCAGGACCCTGCTGGGGTGGGACAGAGGGGAACCATACCTGAAGGGCTTCCACGAGGCCAAGGGACAGGAGCAGTAGAGCCAGCAAAGCAGGTGTCTGCATGGTGGAGGTGACCCTGAGACAATGACTGCCTCTCTTGGGGTCTCAGTGTCTTCATCTAGAAAATGAGGAAGTTAATCTGTACGGTTTAATAAGCATTCATCCACAACACCCAATCTATGTCTTCCTAGTGATAGACAAAAGACAGAAATGGAAGCTCGAGAAAGGACTTTTCTTGCTGAAAAGAACAAGAGACTCGCTGGAAGAGGTAGGTTATGTGTGAACAAAGTCTTGCAGAATGAATAGATGGGTTTGGTTTGGTTTTGTATTTTAGAATGAATAGACTTTAGCCAGTGGATGTGGGAGAATTCCACAACCTAAGGAATTAGGAGATAGGATGGGAAAGGAGTTTTGGGGATCAAGAATGGGAAGAGCAAAAGCACTGAAGGTAGGAACTGCTAGGACCTCTATAAGTAAAGGGGTGCCGTCTAGTGGGGCAGAGTTGGAACAGTAGGAATGTTGGAACAAGTGAGGAGTCTGATCCTCTCTTTGTGGGGGTCACAAGGCAGATCCTAGGATGTTAGCTCATGAGAGGACCCCAATGATGAGCTTGGGGCAGGCCTAGAATCCAGAGGTCGTCCCTTCTCCCTATAGTCCGACTGTGGACTCAGGCTTTCAGCAGGGACAGGCTTTCAGGTAGAATACAAAGACTTCTTGCTTCCCCAAGGGAAATGTGAGGGAAGCACAAGCCTCCTGTGAGTGGACATGTGGAGGCGCTGAAGGGGCCCCAACAAGAGGGTATCCAGCTTTGGGTCAGGATTGAAACAGATTTCTTCTTGTTGCTCTTAAGTGTAGTCAAGTTGGCCTAGAATCCTAGCAGCCCTGTGTGCATAGAAGCCTCTCTGGTCCTTCACTATCCACACAATCCCGGCCATGTTTGAGTCTGTTGCTGCAGCCACTGTTCAGTCTGTTTTGCTGAGAGTCTTCCTCTTTTTTGTTGACCTACTTGCATGGTTTCTAAATCATTTTTTCCCCTCCCGCCTCTCTATCTTATTACAAATGTCTGCTTGTTTGTAAAACAAAATTTTGAAAGTGCATGAAATACAAAGTCCTCTTTCCTTTTGCCTCCCTCCTCATCTGCACTATGGTTTCTCATCTCCCTGGTTCTTGACTGCCCTGCTTTTCTTAGATTCCTACATGAGTGCATTTGTAAGTTAAACTCTCTTTTTTAAAAAAAAACCTAAAAATTTATTTTAAGTGTATGTACCGTCAAATGAGATCTGACTGGTAGAGGAGGACAGCGTCCGTCCCTCCTTCTCCAGCAGAGCATCTGGTGGATTTGAACTGCACTGATGTAATTAGAATTTTTTGGTTGCATCCAGAAATTACAGTTTAGCTAAAACATGTATTAAGATTAGCATCCCAAACTTTGGGAATCCCTGCTTTGGGGATTGCAATGCAGTTCCTTACCACTAGGCCACCAGAGTTTCCCCAAGAGTCCTTGGTTTTGAGGTTGAATTCCAGGCTCCTTGGAGCATGAGCTCCTGTGAGTTGGACAGTCTAAGATGCCAGGTTGCTCTCCTAAGCTAAAGAACAAAGGTAGAAACTGCCATTTGAAATGTCTTAAGGAGTGAGTAGTCTCTGCTTCCTGGTTCTCAGTGTTACACCCCTCACGACACAGATCCTGCCATGAAACAATTTGCTCAGAACATAGCTAAGATGAATTATATCAGCATAAAGAAACCCATCCACATACAGGCTTTACATGAGGGCTCAGCACACTAGTCCTGTGGGAATGGCTTCCCAAGCTCTGTGTCCTGTCAACCTCTCCAATGTCCTCTTTGGTCTTCCTTGTCTCTGAGTCTGTTTTTGGGGAACCCAAACTAGGAGAAAGGGGTCTTCTTTTGGGGTCACAAACCACAAGAATGTGGCACACTCTAGGCCTCTTCTGCTTGGACCCCAGAAAGAGCACAAGAAGAGCAGACTTGAACCCCACTCATAACTAGGAGGAATGCTGCTTCAGTAGACAGGCAATCAGAAGCCTGAGGATTAACTAGTCCACAACCATCTTGAAGATTCATGAGGATAAATGCTCCTGTGATTTTGTGGCATATGAATGAAAGCTTACAGAGCCAATCAGCTCTCTCCCTGCCTCTTCACTGTCCAATTTCTGTCTGCACTTCTGCCCTGCTTTACAAAGCAGTAAAAATGATAGCTCCATGTCCTCAGGTAGAGGTAAAACTGTGACATCAAAATGAGGACATGTAACAACAACAATATTTTCTTCTTTGGATAAAATAAAATTGTCCTACATAAAAAAAAAAAAAAAAAAAATGAGGACATGTGATGATGTGGCCTGCCTAAGGAATGTAGTGAGGCTGGCCCCAGAATTACCAGGTAGAATCTATTAGATTGCTGTGTCTGATAGGATGTAGGGAATAAGAGAGAGGGGGAAAGCAAGGATGACATCAGGTCTCCTGTCTCCAAGCTGCAAACACAGAGGAGCAATATAGCTTTAAATGCTCATCTTGCTCATTCTTGTCATCCCAGCAATGGCTTGTTACTTAGCACATAGTAGGTACTCAATTAAAAGTGCAGTGAATGAATACAGGTTTGCAGGGAGAATAACAATGAGTTCAGTTTGGAATACGGGAACTCCCCAGCGCCAGATGTCCAGGAAATCAAGCAAGGGATGAGATCTCATGGGAAGAAGAAAGGAGGTTTGAGAGGAGAAAAAGTTGCTTGAAGGGTGAAGCCAAAATTACTTGAAGGGTGAGCAAGATTTCTCTTTGGGGTTATGGAGGTTCTTCTCTCCTGGCCCTTGGTCCCCTTAGATGTCCTTGTATCCTTGTAAGACTTCCCTCTTTAGGCTTTTGCTAACTCAAGGTGATTTCTGTTAACTAGACATTGGAAGAGTTTCATGTAATATACCATCTTCGTTTTTCACCCAGTCACACAAGCTGGTCATCCAGCTGTGCGTTCCTTCAGTCTTTCGTCAGACATGCATGTAGTTATAAGCAAATACCGAGAACAATGCCGAGTGGTCCCTTTCTCCACCCTCACTTCCCCTGCTCAGGGTTGCACCTGCCTCCTCACTGTTCCCTCTGACTCTGTTGTCACCCCCCTGCCTAGCCATTCTCCACAGCCCGCTTCTAAGACACAGCTCTGTTACTTACCTGCTTAAAAGCCCTCTGTGCTAAAACTATAAAAATACCTAAAAACACAAAGTAAAAAAGCAGACCAAAAATTAGTAGGGGAGAAATGAGAATACATTTTTTTGCAAAATGCAAAACCATAAAAACAAAATTTCCCCAAGTCTTCAGGACAGTCCAACCTCCTAATCTGGGCAGGTGGGTCCTCCATGACATCTCAGCTTCCCAAAACCACCTCCTGTGCTTGGCTTCTGTAGAATGGAACCAAGTTCCAGGCGAGGCTCCACTGTCCCCTCACTGTGACTCAATACACATCACTCTTCTGCTCAGGATGCCCTTTTCCTGGATCCCCATTCTACGCTCAGGTCAGGATCACCTCTTCCAGGAAGTCTTCTGACTCCTCGAGGCCCCCACATCAACCTGGATTTCCCCCGATACCTCTCTAATTACACTGTGCTGATCTATCTATCTATCTATCATCTATCATCTCTTTACCAGTTTGTGCAAGCTCATTGAAGGCAAGCACCAGATAGGATCCATTTGTTCCCAGAGCTCAGGCTAAGGGCAGGCCTCGGTCAGTTCTCTGGGTATGTTTGCTGAGAATCTGAGAGGCTTGCAGTGTTTAGCTTGGCGGACTGCTGACCTTGGTATCTAGTGTGGAAAAAACGTGGGGTGGGACAGGCTAATAGCTTGGGGAGGGCATATGAGTCAAGAAGTGAAGACACTGGGTCAATCCCTTTTCATAGCCCATGAAATGTCCTTCAGTCTTTTCCCCTGTCCTCCCGACAGCACTTTTGTCAGTATCCCCTCATCCAGGCACTTGCTGAACATTCTCTTCTGGGAAAGCTCCCACAGTGATCTTAAATCGCCCCCCAGTAGCTCAAATATCTCAATCAAAGGTCTCCTGAAATTTCTGTGTCCTCTAAAGACCATAAGTCTCCCCCCACAAAAAAGAATCCTTTTTCAAAAAAGTCCTTTCTCTGCCTGACTTCCAGAAAAGGGTGATAAGCCCCTTACCTGGGCCTTCTCCAGGGAGGGGAGGCCGGTGCTGGGCCCTTGCACTGGCCACCAGGGGAGGGTAGGCTTCTCCTTTATATTGTCAGCCCCTGACTGCTGCCCCCAGACAGCTGCTCAGAAATGTGACACTCGCCCCATCTATTTCTGGATGTCTCTTCAAGGTTCAGGAACACCAGCTCCCACCCAGTTTGCTCTGGGCCAGTACTCCTCACGTGAAAAGAGCCAGTAGGTCCTGGGGCCAAAAGAAAATGGGCTGAAGCACTAAGAAGCCAGGCATGGAGAGCTGCACCCACAGCTTCACCACTGAATGTGGTTCTGTATTCTGACCCGACAAGAAGAGACTGAGGAAGTCTTAGAGAGCATTTCCTGACATTACGCTCCTTCCATGTGAATATTGATTTACCTTAGTACAAGGAGAAATTCCTGGATTAAGGAGGCTTGTAACTAGGTCCTATTTCCTCCAATGACTTGCTGCATGGCCATGGAGATCTTTCTGCACCATCCTGGACATCTGTCCAATTAACAGATTTTGCTATAATTCATGGAGTCTTATTTTGGGTTTCAGGTTACAGGATGAGAGAAATAATTCCCAAAGTCAACAGGTGAGGAAAGAAGGATAAAGTGGTTGATTTGGACCAAGTGGCTGTCTTCTGGATCAACAACTACAAACACATCCCTCCACTGAGAGAGGCAGGCTGGACATGGAGACAGGATGCTATTCTTCATAGTACTGGTGGGCAGCAGAAGGGTTCCTGATCTCGAAGGACTTTGGGATGGCCACTGTTGTTGGAAGGGGCCAAAAGAGATTGTCTTGAAGCTGTTTCCCTCCTAAGCACTCTGTTGTGGGAGATGTTACTCTCCTTACCTTCTCCTTCCTTCCCCAAGCTTGAACACACAGCTTGTCTTATTGGCTCCACATGAAAGATTTTGAGTGAAAAAAACCCCTTTATTTGACTAAAAATCTGAGAGGAGGGGGATTCAGAAAAAGACTAAATAAATGAGCCAGACCACAATGAAGGCCTTTGGGTAGGTCATACCCACTTCAGTCCTGGAGGCAGTACTTTTAAAAAATATTTATTTTAATGAAAGCAAAGAAAAGAGGTTAGGGAAAGTATTTTGCAAAGGATACCATGAAGTTACAAGGCAACGCTAGCCGGTAACTCCGAGGCAACATTTTAGAAATCCTGACAATCAGGAACCCACGACTTCTTGGACCACTCTAGGGGAGTGACCCCTCCCACCCCCTCTCCCACAGCCTGTCAGAAAGCCTTCCTCAGTCATTTACTGATTCCCAGCTGGCCCCTTCTCCCATTACTTCTGATTGGGCATCCAAAACTAGGAGCCAGCGTATTTATAGACAATCCCAGAGGCTGGGGTTGGGAGTGGGGGGGAAGGCTTGTGTTTATAAACATTGAATCACCTGAGTCTGAGAGCCTTCCACACAGAGAGGGTCAGGGGAGGGGGCGGGGTTAGACTCGGAGGATCAGAGACAAAGCGTGTCCTCTGTTTTGTGCAACTCTGCGGACTTGGGGAGGTAGGGGAAGGGGCTTAGGAAAGAGAGAACGGAGAACGAGAGATTCACTGCTAGGGCCTTAGGCAAACTGAACGCAATTTGTCCTGGACCCAAGCATGACCTCCAAGGAGGGCGGGGACCCTCACGTGGCTCCCTGGCCTAGCGGTTCGGGGGCCAGAGGAGAGGGGTGCCCTGGGTCATCAGAGGAGAAGGCCAAGTCTCCCAAGTCTGTTCCCACCCAGAGACAAACGGGGTTCCGGAGAAAGTGCCTACTGTCCTTGGGAAGGGAGGTCACGCCCCTCAGCCCCTTCCCCAGCCACTCTTGCTCCCCCAACCCCCGCGTCTGTTGTAAGGGAAGGGCGGTGTCCGGTTACCGCCGCGGGGGCTATAGTTAGCCGCGGGGACTTTGTTTATCAGTGGACTCCGGGACAGCACAGTGCCCACACGGACTCTATGCCCCAGCCGTCCCCAACCACCAGCGCTTCCCGCTCTAGGCTTCTACGACCTCCAGGTGGGTCCTCAGCCCCCTCCCTCTCTCCTCTCCAGGCGAAATCATACTCTGGCCCCATCTTCACCATCGTCAAAAACCACCCCTAGCAGAAGACTCTGATTGTCCGGGCACCCAAGAGCCTGGAGAGTCGAGACCCCGTGTTGTGCAGGGGACAGTAAAGGCCACGCCCCTTGGCCCCAGCCCCGCCCCTCCCGGGCCCCATTTTTGGTCCAGGGACCCCTCATATATCAGAAGAAGGGGTCCAAGTCTCCGCCCCTCAGCCCATCACAGCCTGGACTCCTCCGCTGCTGGCCCCGCCTTCACCTGGACCTCGCCCTCCTGAACCTCCCCAGGGAGGATGTTGGTGGCACTGCTGATGGCCCTCAGCTGCCTGGGCCTCCACACCCTCTCGCAGGTAACTCCTGGGAACTACCCTCTGTCTCTTGTTAGGGTAACTGGGGGATAGATTCAGAACAGACGAAGTGCAAGGTTGATCCAACACCCTCTCCTAAAGACTCTTCCATAGGAAACTTAGCTTCATGATTTTCCTCTCCAGCTCTGCAGGGAGCTCCTCCATACTGATTGCCTCAAACTTTCTCGTCTGCACTGCCCACTTCCTACTGTAGGTTCACCCTACCCATATGCTGCAGTCCTGGCATCCAGGGCTTGACCTTCCCCATCCCATCTTTCCTTTCAGGAATATCCTTTAATCCCCTTATCCCCTTGGGATAAAGGTTTCTAAACCAGGAGGAGATCTGGGGTCTCGAAGGGGACCATGACTTGGTGTGGTGGCTGAGAACTTGACCTTCTCCACCCCATCCGCCCTAAGTTTGAGAATAGAGCTTCTAAAGCAGGAGTGGACTCTGAGGTTTGGGGCTGACAGTAACTGGTGTGGTGGCTGAGCCCCTGCAAGGGCTTCCTAAGGAGGAGAGGGGTTAGAAATGTCGGAGAGGAGAGGAGGGGTCAGGTATCAAGGGTGGATGTTGGCATTGGCTGTACGTTTGTGCATCATCTGTAGATTGCATCTTAAGGCCCAAAAAGTGTTTAGAGGTCATTTAGCCCACCTCCCTTGGAATGCAGGAATCTCTTTAATGACAAGATGCCCCATTTGGGTTATCATGCAGAGTAAAGACCAACATGTTTATCCTCACAGTAATCCTATGAAATTACAATTATCCCTATTTTATAAGTGATGAGCCTGAAACCTAAAAAAAAAAAAATTAGTTTGTTTGCTTGACTCCAAAGCCTGTGTTTCTTTTTTTTTCAAAGCCTGTGTTTATTAAGCCTCTTCTTGAGCCCTTGCCAAACTGTTTACATATCCCAGTTATGTGGCCAGAGATGAGATTCTGTTTCTGAACTGATGTGGCACCAGGACCTCTGTTCAGTGCTCTGAACTCATACCCTTTTCTGTGTGGCTCTTTTCTGTTTTCCACAGGTCCAAGCTGTTCCCATTCTGCCTCTGGGTCTGGCCCCAGACACCTTTGATGATGCCTATATGGGCTGCACAGAGGAAATGGAGGAGAAGGCAGCAAGCCTGCTGAAGGAAGAAAAGGCCCGCCATGCCCTGCTGCGGGAGTCCTGGGAAGCAGCCCAGGAGGCCTGGGAGCACAAGCGTCAAGGGATCATCTTGCCGCCTGGCTTCCAGGCCCAGCATGCAGTGGCCATCATGGTCTATACCAACTCATCTAACACTTTGTACTCGGAGCTGAACCAGGCTGTGCGGATGGGCGGTGGCTCCCGAGAACTCTATATGAAGCACTTCCCCTTCAAGGCCCTGCATTTCTACCTGATCCGGGCCCTGCAGCTGCTTCGAGGCAGTGGGGGCTGCAGCAGGGGACCTGGGGAGGTGGTGTTCCGAGGTGTGGGCAGCCTTCGTTTTGAACCCAAGAGGCTGGGGGACTCTGTCCGCTTGGGCCAATTCGCCTCCAGTACCCTGGATGAGGCAGTGGCCCGCAGATTTGGTAATGCCACCCTCTTCTCTCTAAGGACTTGCTTTGGGGCCCCTATCCAGGCCTTGTCCGTCTTTCCTGAGGAGCGTGAGGTGCTGATTCCTCCCCATGAAGTCTTCTTGGTTACCAGGTTCTCCCAGGATGGAGCCTGGAGTCTAGTGACTCTCCGGAGCTATAATCAGACCTGCAGCCACTTCAACTGCGCCTATCTGGGTGGTGAGCATGGGGGAAGCAGGACAAGTGAAATAAGCCAGGATAACTCCAATCAATCATCAGGTCCTTCAAAGAGACCCATTTGGTAAAGAGAAAGCTGAAGGCTAGAAGTTAGTTGGGGTTATTTTCCTCTGTAACTCAGTTTCTACTCTCAGAAGATCCTCTGGGTTTTTTTGTTTTGTTTTTTTTTTTAAATCTGTTAATATTCTCAATTGACCCAGAGGTGTTCTATAACGATTCATGTGCTTAAACTCTATAGTCCAATCTAAGAGAGTGTTCCCTTCTTCTGATGCTCAAACTCTGACTCCTAGTGACCCTTGAATGGAGTTCTGAGGCTGTATTGCAAGGGAACGATTCTGTCCACTTTTCTCCCACAGAGCCAGTGGTGGATTTGAACCTCCAGAGATTTGTAGCCTTTGTGTTAGGAACACAATTCACCATGGACTACCTCACCAGTGAGGTAGCCTTAATGAAAAGAACTTGGTTAAGGTGGTTAGCTAGTGGGGGAAAGAGACCAAGTACTGCTTTGGATCTCAGGAGGCTGTGGGATTGGTAGCAGTGACAAGACATATGTAGGTGCTATTTCCAAGTGCTAAGGAAGGGACAGGATGAAGGAGTAATGGGCTCGAGGAGGAGCAGGGCTCGTGGATGGACAATCTGGAAAGGTCCAGGGGAAAGAAGGGAAGTCAGAAGTTTGCATGTAGAACTGAGAGGGGGAAATGTCCCATGCTGGAGCCTGGTAGGAAGGGAAGGTTGGGGATGAGGGTCTGTTTTCAGGAAGGCCTCACCATGTTGTCTATTGCAGGAGAGAAGAGACGGGACTGTGTGTCTGCACCTGGTGAGTTACGCCTCTTGTGCCCTTCCTCAGCTGTTTCAATTCCCACTGCAACTCCTTTAACATCTTTCTTCTCTGTCCAGCAGGGGGGCAGCCAGACTCACCCTTCAAGGAGGCCTTCTCTCTGCTCTCTCGGAAGTCCATGCTTTTGTCATCTGGTTTCCAGTTCTCAGGAGCTGGCTCGTGAAAGCCCAGAATCTACCCATTAGGAGTCCTGGCAACTGGTGGCTCTCATATGAAGCAGAGGCTTTGAAGAGCCTTGAAGAAGAAATGGTTCCAGACCCAGCTTCAGCAGCCGTCTCCCTAGACCAGCATGTGGAGGGAATCTGAGGCCAAGGCGGGGCGGAGGGAACCCCACTGTGTGGAGGGAACTTCCTGGGACAAACAAGGGTAGTGGCCACTTGATTAAATGGTGTTACAGTGTGGAGACATCAAATTTCATGATTGGTTTTTTCCATGAGGCTGGCGTGTTTGTGGCTGTGCCAGACTCAGGACTGAAAACCCTTTTGATCCCTGTCACACAGTATAACTTGCAAACCCAGAAGCTTTAGCAGCCAGAGGTTGCTCCCAACAATCCTGAAATTAGAACAGATGGATTCCTCAGACCAAGGAAGGAATCCATTCGCCAAAGATCAGAGAATAAATAGGTATTGAAGCCAGGCCTTCTGCCTCCTAGACCAGAATCTTTCCACCAAAGGATTTGAGGAAGTCCAAGGCAGAATCTTAATCCCAATATCTGGGACCCCAGAGCAAGCCACCTTCTCTCTGGCTTATCCTCGAAGGTCCATTCCTGAGGAGATGACAGGGCCTCAAAACATCAGCAGCAAATATTGTTACATACTCAGGAAGCATTAGATATTCAGAGTAGAAATTTATTGAGGCAAAGAAAGCAGCATGGACTTTGTTAGTCTCATCTAGGCTATTTTACTCAGTGACAGGAAAAGGGACCCCATGCAGCCTAGGATTCCCTCATGATCCCCACACCCTCCTCCTGGGACAGGTCCCTGGTCTCCTCTGCCTCCTGCTCCCTATGCACTAGCACGTGTGTTGGAGAGGAAGGGCCAGGCTCTCCAGAAGCCAGAGTCCTAGCCCTTCCAGCATCCTGAGGCCCAGTTCTGGAAGGTATTTGGGTTTCCACAGTCCCGGGCATTGTCAGCTCTGGGGCCTCAGGGATGGGGGGCCCCAGGTTCTGGAAGCTGTTACGCACTCGGGTGATGTAGCGACTTAGGATGCTGGCACCATCAGGGGGTCGAGGTGCCCCTCTTTCCACGAGAGTCCGGCGCACACCAGCTACCTCATTTTGCAGTCGAGACACGGTCTTGGTCAGCTCCGTCAGCCTGTTGCCCAGGTCTGGGGGAGAAAGAATATTGAAGGGAGATTTCTCATAAGATGAATCTACCTGTGCTACTTCTAACCCCAACAGTGCTTCAAGGGGTGCCCTGTCTGGGGTCTGAGGGAGGAGAACTGGAGGAGGTGAGGGACTGACTGCCTTAATGGCTGGGGACTAGACAAAGTCTGGGACAGAGAGACTGAGCAAGGTAGGGAAGGGTTAGCTTAAGAGATATAAAAGGGGAAATATAAAGGGGCAGAAAAAGTGTCAATAAGTAAAAGTTTGTACATCTAATTCTATTAGCTCTCTCCTCAATCTACATCTGTCCGACCCTCACTCATACGTCAGAGCCCAAGTCAAGCTCCATTTCTCCCTTTTCTAACTTGTGGGACTCTTTCTCATGATTTTTCAAAATGATAGGTTCTTTTCCTCCTTTGGTTCCTGCTGCAATTTGTGCTTTTCTCAGCTAAGCATTCTCTGCCTCATACGATGATTTCTTCCCTCCAAGCCAGGTGTAAGCTTCCCATGAGTTCTTGTGCCATGTACTCCCCCTTGTCAGGGCCTGGAACGAAGAAGCACTAAGCAAGAAATCTAGCTGGATGGTCAATGAATGAAGGGATCATAAATCAAGTGAATGTGTGAATAGGTAAAAAAGTGAATGAGAACAAATGAGAACCTGAGAGAATGAGGTAGAAATGAAGGACTAAACAAAATGAGAGGAATAAATATCTGTCAGCAGCCTACGTTATGCATCAGGGCTCCTGAGTGGAACTGACATATGAATGGGGGGAGTTGGGTACAAGGTGTGACACCGTGAAAGTGTGGCTTCCAAGGGCAGAGCAGGATGGAAACACATATAAATGCTGGCTGGAGAGGACGTGAGTCTGAGGGTGAGGCATGTATCCAGACGAGCAAGGAACCATTCCAAAGGGGAAGGCTTGCAAGGAGGTGTTTAACCTTTCCGACGAGTCTCCTCAAACTCTCGTCGGGCAGTCTCTATATAGCGCTGGACCAGGGCCTTGATGACACGAAGTCGATATGATCCTTTCTCTGCTTCTGCAGACCCAGTACCTGCCCCAGGATTGGCCTGGAGTGGGAAAGAAAGTGTGAGAAAGATTCCCTACTTCCAACTTCCTCTAATCACCAGCTCCACCTCTAAGCTCTGCATAGAGAGCTGAGACAGGACAACTGCAGCCTTTTCCATCTCTGGCGGGCCCTCGCCTGGAGACTGGTCTGTCCCCAGTTCACCTGCAGTCCCGAAAGACAGAAGCCTAGAGGAACGGGGAGGGGATTATGGGAGGAAAGTGAGTGGGTGGTAAACAGAAACAAAATTGAGGACAGATCTGACCTTTCTTTCCTGCCACTGACCTAACCTTTCAAATCCTGCAAAGAATTAGGGGCAGAAATGCAAGGAGGTACCTATGTGGACCTGCTCATGCAAATGTGGTGGAAAATATGCAAATTAGGATGACTGATTCTAGGACCACTGTTAGGCCTTGGGACAGACTTAGGTGTGGGAGATGTAGAAGAGTGGAGCAGCACCGTAACAGATAGCACAGGACCAAGAAGACATATTCAGATCCCGGTCCAGTCAGGCAACAGCTGGGAGCTTCAGACAAAGTATTCAACCTCTCAAAATTGGAATTTCTTCACATTTTAAATGGAGATTGTGCTAATACCTCTTAGTGTGGTATAATACCTGAATAGAGTTAAGAGCTCTATAAATTCCTAAAATTTTTTATTTAGTATCTAGTTTTCTAAATAGTATTTTATTTGGTTTATTAATTATCTAAAGGAGATAATGGGATAGAGAAAATTATGAGAGAGAATGACAGGGGGGAGTGAAGGAAATGTGAAAGAGTTGGTTTGAAAAACAATCTATGTGTGCTTTTAAGTAAACCAGTATATAATAAAAATTTTATTTTTTAAAAAAGAGAATGTCTGGTGAGCTCTGGTGGCCTAGTGGCAAGAAGCTGCAACTACAATCGCAGAGGTGCACGGTTCGAATCCACCAGATGCTCTGCCGGGGAAGGAGGGGCACCATCTCCTCCTGTACCAGTCACATCAGATTTGACGGTGCACGCACTCAAATAATAATAAAATAAAATAATTTTTTTTTTTAAAAAAAGAGAATGTCTAAGGGAGCTCTAGTGGCCTAGTGGCAAGACGCTGCACTGCAATCCCAGAGGTACGTGGTTCAAATCCACCAGATGCTCTGCTGGAGAAGAAGGGGGCAATCTCCTCCTGTACCAGTCAGATCTGATTTGACAGTACACGTAAAAAATAATACAATAAAAATTTTAAAAAAAGAGAAAGAGAGAATGTCTAATCTTTTTTAGCTACAAGATATTAAAGAATCTTTCTCATGTACAATAAAGAGCTTGGGAGGCCATTTCTGAGGAGGCAGGAAGAGTGTGGAGGGGATATCTGACAGTGAGGTGGGGGCGATGAGAAGAAGCTGGGGCCTGAGGGGGTGCAGTGGAAGGCAGAGGAGAACACCATTTGGCTGGTGTGGGGAAGTCTGAAGGACTCTGTTACTGTCCATTGCAATGAAGCAGAAAAGCATAGAGCCAGGGACAAAACACAACCTCAGGCAAAGAAGTTGAGATTCATCTAAGTGTAGAATTAATCCAGACACATGCTCTGCAAACATATGTTGGGTAACCTGGACAGGGCCAGGAAAAGGACGGAGGAGAAGGGTAGTAACTCCAGATTTGGGAGTTGGAGATCTGGGAACGTGTTCATGCAGGATAGTCTGGAACCAGGCTTGAGAACTGGAGAGTCTTGGGCATTTAGTTTCTCAGCTGTGTCATACTTTCTTATGCTTTTGCACATTCTGTTTTCTAAGCCCATATTCCCTTCAAGCTCCTACTTCCTCTTCAGGATTCTGTTCTGCCTTCAGCATCTCTGTGAAGACTTGCTGATTCCTGGGGCTCCAATGGCCCCCTGTGCTTCTCTCATAGGATTTCTACACAATTATAATCTATTTCTTTTGGCTGCTCTACATTGGTTGGCACCTCAAGGGTTGTCATTATGTGTATTTTAGTTTCCAGTATTGTTGTTGTTGTTATGTGCTGCCGAGTCGTTTGCGACTCATAGCGACCCTATGTACAACAGCCTTAAACTCTGCTCTATTCTGTGCCAGTTGCACTGCCTCTGACATACCCATCCCGATTACCCTAGTCACTGAATCAATCCACCTCATAGAGGGTCTTCCCCTCTTGCGCCATCTCTCCACCCTCCCAAGCATGATGTCCCTCTCCAAGGACCTGTCCCTCCTTGCAACATGCCCAAAGTATGTCAGACGAAGCCCCAGAATCCTTGCCTCCAAGGTGTAGCCTGGTTTAACCCTCTCCAGGATGAATCTGTTTGTTTTCTTGGCAGTCCATGGTACATTCAATACTCTTCTCCAGCACCACAGCTCAAAGACATCAATTCTCCTTCTGTCCTCCCTAGTCATTGTCCAACTCTCTGATGCATAACAAGTGATTGCAAAGACCATGGCCTGTATCAAACACACCTTAGTCTCCAGAGAGACACCGCTGCTCTTGAGTACTTTAGAGAGGTCCCTAACAGCAGACTTTCCCATCGCAATATGTTTTTTGATTTCCTGACTGCTGGTGCCAAGAGTGTTGACTGTGGAGCCGAGCAAACTGAAGCTGTGAACAATCTCAATCTCTTCGCCATCCATCCTGATGCTGCCAATTGGTTCAGTGGTGAGAATCTTTGTCTTCTTGACATTGAGCCTCAGTCCATACTGAAGGCTGCAGTCCTTGACCCTCTGCAGCAAGTGCATGAGGTCCTCCTCAGTTTCAGCAAGCAGGGTTGTGTCATCTGCATAACACAGATTGTTAATAGATCTTCCACCATAGGTGTGCTTTAATAAGTGGTTGCGGAACAAACTCCCGATCAACCAGAGTATCCAGGAACCTTACAGCATAAGAGCTAATGTGTCCCTACAGAGCTGGCCTAGACATCCTAACTTAAAGAAATCCTTATGGGCTCAAACACAACATGATTTTGAAAATGGTGCAGGACCTGACAGTGAATTGTTCTGCTGTAGAGAGCATTACTGTGAATCTTCATGGCACATGACAACAGGCCTGGAAGTAATACTGGTCTGAATGAAGAAGAAGCTTTAATTCCCAAGCCAGTCTGAGTGGGGCATTTATGTAGGGCCAGTAAGACTTAGTGGGTCTCAATCAGCCTTGATTTCTGAATTTCTGGGGAAGGCTCTCTAGTTAGTTCTCCAATACATTTTCTAAAAAAATGTCCAACCAGATCAAAGACTTTTCTGGAGCTTAATGAGTGTCAGTGGCCTGGGGTGAGGGTAGCACGACCATCCATCTTTTTAAGCCTAGTGACAACAGGGCTGGAAATTTAGGAAATGGCCAGATCTAAAAAGGAAGGAAAGGAAGCCATAGGAGAGAATAGGAATTTGGAAGAGCCCTTCTGGAAAGACAGGCATGCTAAGAATGTGCAGATAAACAGAAAGCACAGACAAGATAGTTGAATGTCCCTTATAAGGAAGACAAACAAGCAGACAGGATACTCACAAAGGTGGGGATTGGGGGATAGTCTGGCTTCTTAGTTTTGCAGCAGGAGCAGCAGCAGCAAATGAACCAGAAAATTCTCCTGAGAGATTTAGATGGTGGGAAAGGGTTAGAGGTCAAACCAAACACCCACTGTTGTCAAGCCAATTCCAACTCACAGTGACCCTGAAAGACAGAGTAGAACTGTCTCATAGGGTTTCTGAGGCTGTAAATCTTTACTGGAGTAGACTTCCTCATATTTTGTCAACAGAGCAGCTGTGTATTATTTCAGTGAGTTCAAAGTACCAAATTTTTAGTTAGTAGCCAAACATAACACAGTATAATCACTTTGCTTCATCAGAGGACAGGGCCTAGGAAATTAGGGGCAGGAGCTAGAGTGAAGGTGGATATATCTTTGTGGAATCAGGAGAGAGCTCTGAAGTTACCTGAGAAGGTAAAAGATGGACTTGGGGGAGGGAAGGATGTTGAAGGGCACAGGCAGTGTCAGGCCCTCTCGGAAGTAGGACAGGTAGAGCTTGGAGCGAGCAAACTTCCACTCCACATCAGCATCATCCTGAGGACAGGAGGAAAGAGATGATGCAGGATTAGCTTGGTACCCAGGTTTCTTGCTCACTCTACCTTATCTTTTCCCTAGGCCTCAAACCTTTTATTCTTCATCATGTTAACCACTTTCCTCTCCCCCATTTTTATCTATAATATTCCCTATCAACCTCAGCTTTTCCTTTCTTTCATCCTTTTAACACCTTGTTTATTCTCCAGCCTTCAACTCCTAGACCACACATTTCCTTCCCTCTTCCTTTGTACTTTCATAACTGCTTTTCCAGAACACCCACCTCCCACTATGAAGTAGGAAAATAACTAGGCTTGATGTCCAGAGATTCTGATAACATAAGTAAGGGCCACCTTTTACAGGTGAATAAAATTAGTCCTAAAGAGAAAAATTTGTATGATGTGTCAAACAAGAAAATAGCTGGAGGCAGAGCTTAAAGATCTTAACATCTTTGACCCTGTTCTCCATCCATTCCTCTCTTCTCCCTGCCCAAAGCTGACCTCAGTTCACGTACCTCAATCTTCTGGAAGGAGTTAGTGATCATGGCAATGAGCATGTTGAGTAGTACAATGACCATGACGATGGTAAAGATGCCATAGAGGGCCCGGCCCACAAATTCAGGCACCAGAAATTGAGGCATGTCTACCACGCTGTGCTCCTCCATGCCAAACATGGTCCAAAACAGAAACTGGAATGTCTCGTTGAAACTAACATGCCAGGCCAAGAAAGATAGGAAGTGAAAGGTAGGAGATGAGCTTGCTCCATTCAGACACACTCTTCCCTGTCCTCCAAGACCCAGGAGGGGGATTCTGCTTCCATGAAAGCCTTTGGGTCACTCTGGTCCATCCAGACATTTGCGATTTCTGAGCGACACCTCTATTGTTTTAGCCAACCCATATTTACTGAGCACATAGTAGTGTCTTATGTTCAAAAGATATAGCCATGAACAAGACAAACACAGTCTCTGCCTTCCAGGACATTATGGGGACTAGGGTAGATACTAATTATACCAACATTTTAAAAATTCTGGTAAGTACCATTATAAAAAGCTAAGGAAAGGTTTACTCATGAGTAGAAGAATTCTTGGATGGTTACCAGGGATAGGAAGGGAGGGAGAAGGCAGTAAAAATTGTCCAAAGCAAGTCAATGTCTGAATGACCAAGAAAGTAAACTAATTAAAAAAGTGTGAATGCATGAAGAGTGAAAGAGTAAGTGAACAGCAGGCATGAGAATGAAGTATTGGCCATGTTGTTGTTGTGTACCCTTGAGTTGAAATGGATGCATAGCTGACCTTCCAGTGGGTCTTCAGGGGGAGATTGCTCATCTTTCTTCCATGGAACAGGTAGTAGATTCAAACCATGAGGCTTTGTTTTGACAGTATGACTCCTTACCACTAAGCTACCAGAATTTCCTAGTTATTGGCGATATTTAGGATAATTTGAACATAAAAAGGATGATTGTAATGAATTACTATCTTTAAAAAGTCTTGGAGTCCAGATGATATTTTAAAAGGGGGAGGAATAAAATACTTCTTTATAGAATTCTAGCTAATAAATAAATTTCGTTTTTGTTGTTAGGTGCCATTGAGTCATCCAGAACTCATAGTGACACTAATGTATAACAGATCTGAACCTTGCCCTGTCCCTTGCTACCCTCACCATTTCTGATAGACTCGCGAACTAGATCTAATGTCCAGAGAGTCTAATAGCATTACTAAGGCCCTCCTCTTAAAGATAATAATAACAATAACAATATTAATAATAATAAATGTAGAAGATATGATAAAAGTAGAAAAATCACCATTTTGCAATTGCTATTATAATAACTGATTCAGGTAACGATCATCTGTGGGTGCTAAAGCCAGTTTACAAAAGGCTGGTCAGTCAACTTACCAAAAAGGGAAAAGATAACTCAGATCACTGAAAGGGACGAGGTACCTTTACAGTAGAAAGGTTTACCAAATTGTCTTAACCAAGTGACATTGTGTGCCTCCTAATACAATGGGAAGTATATCTCATCAACTAGGCAATATCTTTGACAAAATAGGTAAATCTAGGGGAGGGGGATGAAAAAAAAAAGTATATCAATGAATGAATGGAAACTCAAGCTTTCTGTAAACTTTCACAAAAATCACAATAAAAAACCCCAAGTAAATCTAAATTGTGAAAAATGCTCTATACCTAAAAACTTGTTCTGAGCTCTTCAAGACAGTTCATTTGCCATGAAAGCCAATGAAAAGGTAAGGAGAAGGCTCTAGACTGAAAGAAACAACACAGATATATAACAAAGCACAATTGATGATACTGGTTGAAACTTCTTGAATTTTTAAAAAGCTATAAACAACAACAACAATATAAAGATTTTTCTAGCAATTGAGGAAATATGAGTAAATACTATTAATAGATAATACTAGGATGTTGTTGTTGTTGTTAAGTGCCATCGAACCATAGATGACTCATAGCGACCCTATGAACGAAAGACATGAACACTTACCAAACTTTCATCCTTTTTCCAGGTTCATAGAGTTTCTGGAGGCAAGCTATTTCGGAAGTGGAAGCCATTCCTGCTTCCAAGCTTGTTTTAATCGGGAAGTTCTACCAAACATTGTTCACCATGGGAACAATTATTGCATTTGACACATCAGTGTCACAGTGTTTAGCATCACAGCAACCAAGAGTTACCTCTGTACAGCAAATGGACAGACCAGTGCTCTACCACTTAGAAGAATGTTTGATCAAAACCAATTAAAACCAGGCCTGAGTGCCACAGATTAAAATCATCCAACTTTGGCTTGGCAGCATTTTTAGATAGGAGGCTGAATCACATCATCTCACACCCATTAGTAAGTCAACATTCCACCCCAATTCTCACCAGGACAAGTAAAAAAAGCCTCTGTAGAATCTGGCTGCTGCAGATGACTTCTAAACTGGATTCCAGCCCCCAATATTAGGATATTGATGTTGAATTTTTTGGAAGGCGATAATGGTTTTACAGTTATGCTCTTAGGAGACATACCGAAGAACATAGGAGTGAAGCTGTGATATTTGAAACTTAAATATTTTAGGGGGAAAAGTAAGCAAAAGATCTAGCAAATGTGGTACAGTGTTAACAACTGTTGAAGCTACATGAAGGGCATGTGTATGTTCATTGCATTCATCTTTTAACTTTTTCATAGGATTGAATTTTTTCCAAATAAAATATTGAGGGAGGAAAAAAGTGTAAGAGAAAGTAAGTAAATGAGCAAATGAACAAACGGCTCAGTGATAGAGTGAACCAATGAGGGAGAAAGCAAACAAGAGAAATAGCTATTTGGTGAATAAATGAGGCAGGGAGGAAGTTGGAATTTGCTAGGTCCCAGACTCCCACTTGCCCATCCAGCTTCTGCCCCTGCATACTTGCCCAGCCGCTCTGTCTCCTGGTAGGGCACGTAGATATTGTTGAGGCCACAGAGGAAGGCAGTTAGGATGATCATAAGAATGAACATGAATCTGACAGGAAATATGAAGGGGAGGAGTCAGTGCAGATCTCTACTCTGGGAGAAGTCAAGCTCTAGGAAGAGGGGTTAGGAGTGTTGGTGACAGCTTCCCTACCCCAATGCAATGTGGTAGTTTTTAAGAATAGAAAAATTTTTTAAAAATAGAGAATAGATAAATTAGCCATGGGAAGTGAAAAGGGATCTAAGTGGGTACCATATGACAACAACCTGGAATAAGGGATGTATTTTGGGGTGGGCTAAGGGAGGGAGAGGAGACCGGAGGGGAAGAAAATGTGCAACAAGGGATTAAGGAAAGTGAGTGTCAAAGCAGGAGCTCTCCTTCAAGAATAGAGTATTGAGTCCAATCAGTTAAAGCTCAGATGGGCCAACCTTTCAGGAAGGGCTGAGATGGTGAGATGATACAGGAATGGGTAGAAGTTTGGTGATAAGCACCAAGATCAGGTAATACCATGTGTTGAAAGAGCAGGTTCAGAGTCAGAAAGACCTAGAGACCTGAGTCCAGTGTCCTTACTATACAGATGGGAAACTGAGGCTCCACATAGAGAAATTACAGCAGAAATGGGCCTGGAGCTCCCAACTGAGAACACTTTCTGTTCTCAATGGTTCTTAGCCTTTTCTAAGGTCATGGGCCTCTTTGTCAACTGGCTTGAAGTTATAGGCCCTCTCTGCAGGGAAATGTATCAACATGCATACTCTGTAAATGTGTCTGTAGCTTCAGGGCTGGAATCTACGCAAGGAACCTGGGGTAAGAATGCCTGTGCTCCAGCTGTAGCTGGGACATCTCAGGCAGCTGAGTGGAGGCTGCTCTGAGGAAGGATGGTACACACCGGATCATGTCATCGATCATCTTGCCAATGGATATCTGCAGAGTGCCCAGAGACTCATGGGCAGGCAGGATGTAGGCCAGTCGGGTGAAGCTGAGCATACTGGTGACAGCAAAGAGCACTTCAGCCAGGAACTGGGGATCTTCAGTGCGCCACTCACTTCTCTCTGTGCAGGGTGGAATGGGGGTGCTGGGGCTGAGGGCCAAAGAAAAGGCCTTAGGGGATCCAGGATGAATTTGGGATGGGGGTTCTCACCAGCAGTAGTGAAGTAGTGGCAGGTAGTCCCATCTGGGGCGCCCTGACAGTGCATGTGGGCAAGTCCAGCCAGGAGGAGGCGCAGTGCAAAGGCTGCCAGGTAGAGAGACAGGATGACGACATCCAGGAAATTCCACCAGTCCAGGAGGTAACTGCGCAGCCCCTCAATCCACACCTCCTTGCACTCGAACCAGAGGAAGCCTGAAAGCAAGGACAGGGATCACGATAGGCTGGGGCAGAACTCTCCTCCTCCTTCCAGGGCAGAATTTATGTGCATATGGGAAACAATCAGACAACGTGGGGAGGAGCGGGCTAAAGATCACCAGGATAAGTTGATAAAAATGTAAGCATATGATCTACTTAAGTACAAAAGGATTTTAAAGAACGCTCCCATGACCAGCAGCCATGTCTGTCAGCTGATAGCCAGAAACCGAGGAATACTGGGAGAAGTTGTTTATTGGGACAGAAGGATTTTTTTGAATTTCAAATCTTTACTATTCCTTCTGAGTTGTTTGGCTTGGAAAATCACCAAGCAAACCAGACAATCTAAAAAAAAAAAAATCAATAAGAACTATTAAGAAGCAAAACTGTTTTGTCATTTCTCCTTCCTAGTAATTGGTCTGCTTTGATCAGTCAAGTAGAATGAATATACATAATTACCATAAAATCATTTTCTTGTTGCCCTCCACTAGAAAGTACTGGACAAATACTGAAAGAGTGTCATTTTGAAGGGGCTCTAAATGATCAGCCTGCCCAGGATGCCAGTGTCTCAATGGAGCCGAGTGCCAAGCCCAGGGGTAAGTAGCAGGTAGTAGTAGCAGTGGTAGTAGCAGGTAGCAGTAAGTAGTAGTAGTAGTAGTAGTAGTAGTAGTAGTTCACCCCCTAACCAAGTGATTCTGCCACATTGTGCCCTTCTCTACTCCCTGGATGGAACAATTTCACTCACTGTTCCCTCTACCTTGAAAATCCTTCCATTCTTTTTTTTAAGACTGGTTTTTGTGGCTTAGGTCAAGTATTGCCTCTTCTGTGAAGCCTTCCCTAACTAGGTGGAGTGAACTGCTTCCTACTCTACTCCCGTAACACTTTGCCCATCACTCTGTGACTGAGGTAAGGCACTACAGAATCGCTCCATGTGGGCCTATCCCTCCCTCTTCTTCCTGTTTCCCCTTAAAGGTGGAGGCCTTCAAGGGCAGAGATTACATCTAATTTATCACTTTGTTGTCAGTACCCAGAGCAAGGTCCTGTTATAAAAGAGTAAGTTCCTACCATATGTCTTGGGGTATTGTGGTGAATAGTAGAGACACAATTTGTCCTCCCAAGGTTTATAATCCAGTGAAGGAGATAGTCAAGTAAGCAGGTATGTTAAAAACAATCAAATGCTAAGACTGAGGATTAGGAGAAAGAAACACAATTATAGAAGTATTTAGGAATGGATTAATATCCTTATTTGGAGAATCAAGGAAAATTTCTCAATGAAAGTAAGAGTTAAGCTGAGACGGGAATAAAGAGTAGGAACCAGCCAAGCAAAACGGCATCATGGGAAGGAGAGGACTCTAGGAAGAGTGATGTGCTGGAGGCAAGTGGAGCATAACGTGGTTAGGAATGAAATCAGTTCTGTATGATAGGAAACCACCTTGTGACGATGGGGTGGGTGTATGTTGAAGAGATGGACAGAAGCATATTTAATGTATCCATATATTCTGAGAGGTTTACTCATAATATAGCATCAGCAAATACTTATTGCAAGAATGAATGAATTTTGTTTCTTTGTGTGTGTGTGTGTATGTGCCGTCAAGTTGGATCTGACTGGCACAGGCAGAGATTGCCCCTCATTCTCCAGTGGAGCATCTTATGGATTTGAACTGAGTGCCTTCGGGGTTGCAGGGTTTCATATAAGACTTTCCCCAAAAAAATTATAGGAACTATACTGATTTTATCTATACCCAGTAAAGCACAAGTCAGTAAATGTTTAGTAATTTTACAGGTGGAAGTGACTTCTTAGGCTGATTTTGTTCTTTTTCCTGAAGTTTCTTGGTCAAATTTCCTTTCTGGAATTATTTTTGGCATGGTCCAGAGAGGAAAAGGGAACTTGGTGTATAAGTGCTTTGGGATTTCTCTAACTGAGCTAGAATTAAATGAGAGGAGGGCAGAGAGAAATGGGCCACTCAGAAAGCCTGCTGACATCACCAGCCAGAGGCAAGGTAGAATTCTGGGTATTCCTATTGGTACTATGCTTTTACTAAATTGTCTGAGAATATGAGCTATTCTGCTGTACTAAACAACAACAATGAAGCAAATAGAAAGAATAGAATTTATTTGGTACAGGTAGGTACGTTAGTAACCTACATGATGTGTTAAATAAAAAAATTAAGTCTAGCATGCATGTGTGAACAGACATAGAAAGGGATGAAATGACTGAGAGACAATAAATTTTCATGAGGCACTGAATACACATGAAGCATGTAAGATTTTCCCTATTCACCAAATTTTAGTGAGCTACCCAATGGTACACTCATTTTGGCCTCATGTATCTTCTGCCTAAGGAATGAAAATGCATTTCACCAACTGCTCACCTGGATAACTGGTAAACCATAGCTGTGGCCAGGTACACTTGCCCCTACATTTCTCACATATATCAATCAAGTATTGGTCTCAGGCACCTCTGCCACATGCCCCAGCTTAAAGCTCAAGTCTGGTCTTTGTACACCACCACCATCAATATATCATCTATTGATTTAATAAATAGTATGATTTGAGTATCTTAATTTGGTGGGTGTGTTGGAAACAGTGAGACTGGTTTAGGATAGGGTAACTATAAGTCGAAGGCAATTAGCACATAACAATTTGGTCTGTGACACTTCTGTTCACTTAATGATCTTTAGGACAGCATGCTAGAGTCCCTGACTGAGAATGAAAAGGAAGAGTCCTCTGGCATGGCAAGTCCAGAGGGGTCTGATTACGTGTTCAGTGGGCATCAATAGCACTGGGGACTCCTACTGGCTGCTTATCGTGGAGAGCAATGAGGAGGCCCTTTAAAGGAGACTGTCACAAATAAAGGGCCTCACACATGTACCTGTGACCCAAACCATGTGTAGTGAAGTTTCCCAGACACTCTGGCTGCGACCACGAAAGGTACTGAGCTGTCTCTCCATGACCAGGGACTCTCCGAGCAGGAAGATGAGGAACCACAGATAGGAAGCAGAGTGCAGCAGGAACTTCAGTACTGGGACCTTCAGGAGGCGGCCCAGCTTGGGTGGAGAAGGAAGAGAACACAGCTCCAGTTCTGTTCATGTCTGCCACTGGAAGCTCTTTCTGTTCAACCCACATAGGACTTTCTCTTTCTCACATTCACTCATTTATTCAAACATTTATTAAGTACGTGTCAGGCCCTACACTTTCACATCTATTATTTCCTTTACATATGTTGTTGTTATGTACTGTTGAGTCAGAACTGACTAGCTGGCCTTCCAGTGGGTTTTTGGAGGCAGTAAATTGCGTGGGAGGAGATTGTCTATCTTTATCTCATGAAGTAGCTGATGGGATTCAAACCACATGCCTTTAGATTGGCATCACAACTCCTATGCCACCACTCAACTCCTAGGCCACCAGAACTGCCCACAATCATATGAGGTGTTATTATTTCCTGTTTTCAGACAAGAAATAGAAGACTTTCCAGATAACCCACTTGACTTTGTGAGCTCCATAAATTCCTCAAGACCAAGTGAGTTAAAATAAAACCCCAAAAAACACCAACATTATTTTCTGTCCCAAACTTGTTCCCCCTCATCTCAGAATGTGACCTAGTTACCCAGGCCAGGCATGGGTGAGGCAGTCTGCATCCTCTCACTCACGTTTCCATACTCTGAGTTTCTAATTCCCTCTCCCCCTCAAATCCATCCTTCATATTCACTAGTAGAGAGATTGTTACCAAACACAAAACTGATGGAGTCACTTACCTCATTAAATCCAACAGTGGCCTCCCAAGGATGCAGTCCAAGTGTTAACATGGGTTGTTGGTTCATGGGGCTCTGGATAATCTGTTTCTGTCTCTGGTTCCTGCTCCTCTCACCAATTTGCCTTTATACTTTGCTACCTAGAATCCCTTTTAGTCTCTCTAATGCTTTACATTCTCTGCTCCATGCCACCCCTCCCCACAGGTTCCTGATTCCTGGTTAACAGGAACAGGCTTTATTTTCATTACATCCTCAGTACCAGGTACAATGCCAGACTCACAGTGGGGTTCAATGAAATATTTGTTGAGTAAAGAAGGCAGGAAGGCCTCTGTTTAAATCCTGGCATTCTTACTGTTACAATGGGCAAAAAGAAGCCTTTGTAGGGAGCTCTGGTGGCCTAGTGGCAAGGAGCTGCACTGCAATTCCAGAGGTACATGGTTCAAATCCACCAGATGCTCTGCTGGAGGAGGGACAATCTTCTCCTGTACCAGTCAGATTTAATTTGATGGTACACATACAAAAATAATACATTTTTTTAAAAAGCTTTTGCATTCTCTATTTCTCACACTGCTCTAGAAAATAGACACGTTAACACCCACCTTGTAGGCCACTTCCATTAAGGTTACTTAATGGGAATATTTGTACAATGCCCAGTCCAGGCCCTGACATAGAAAAAGTGTCAATAAAGGAATTATAATTAACATAATTCTTAGTACCTGGGACTTGGGTGCCAGCCAGTAGCCAATGCAGAGGAAGGGCATGGTGAGGAAGATGAGGAAGGAGACAAAGAGTTTCCAGATGGTGGTGCTTCCTCGCCAACCAGCCAGCTTCCCACACCAGATGGAGGACAGGACTTGCTGGCAGATGGGGTGTGCTACAAACTGAGCAGAGGAGAGGGGACCACAAGGCAGGGAGGGAACAAGGGGAGCATTTGGGTGCACAGCCTTCACTTCCCCACCACAGAACAAGCCAGCCTGCCTTCCTCCGTATGTCAGCCAGCTTAGAAGACTGATTCATTTGCCATGTGACTTTGGGCAGAACCCACCCCTTTGGGTCTCAGTGTTCCTTCTTTGTGAAGAAATTTTTCTTGGACTCCTCAGATTCTACATTTTTCACTCCAAGTCAATTTATGATGAGGTTGAGTATCCAAGATTCCCTGCCTTCATAGAGATGTGGCCACCTATCTGCATGCTCTTGAGGGGAAGAGGGACAGGGAAGAGAGGCTTGGCAACTTGGATGGTAGGGCCAAGGGTACTATTAGGAAGGAAGATTTTGTATCAGTGGGCTAGGATAACTCAAGGTGGGTGAGGAGAAAGAGACTTAAGAGAAGGTCAGAAAGGGAACAAGAGCTTGTCTTTAGGTTGGTTGCAGGAGGTCTGATGACCCAGTGACCAGGGCTTTCTAAATCCTGAGAGATTTAGTTTAATTTTTAGATGGAGATAGTGAAATCTAACAAAGTAGAAGGACTAGCTCAAAGTCAATTAGCAGGTAAGTCAGAAACTAGATGTCCTGATTTGAGGGTAGAGTTCTGGTAATGAATCTTCAGGACTATGCAGAGGTCAGAGGCTAATCTTGAAGGTAAGGAGAGAGTCAGGGACCCATAGGATCAAGAGTCTAGATAGAAGGGGTTTAGAATCAGTTTCTGAGAAGGGTCCTGGGGGCAGGAAGAGAAGACAAGTGGCAGGGCAAACTATCAGGGTGGAAAGGGTAGAGATGGTTAGGGCCCTGCTGACCCGCTTCTGATTGTAGTTGACAGCCAGTCGCAGCCGCGCCAGGTTGGGGATGCCTTCTTCAAAGGCCTGGCCTAGGCCCTCAGCCTCAGTCTCGCTGTCCTCACCCAGGTCATTGAGCACTGCAGTGACCTCGCTCTGGTTCCGGCACATGCCCAGCAGTTCGAAGCCGTAGTCCTGGCTCAGGGACTCCAGGGCAATGTACTCAGGCTGTAGGGAGGCAGGCCTGTATGTATCTGTGTGCCCCTGCAGACTTAGCCCAATTAAATCAGCCTTACAGTGGGCCTAGGCCTTGCCTTTGTGTCACCTTTCTTACATCTGGTGTTACCATGGTCAACTATTTTATTCCTCACCCCATCATTTTACCCATCTCTTTGTTTTGAGGTACTTCTTGTCAGTGCTTGAAAATATGGCTCTGTCTCATCACTAAGTCACTTCAACCCAAAATCCTATTCCTTTTCTAATCCCCACTCCTAAGCTTTTCATGTGCTCATTTATTTTGAGCCCCTATTACTTGCTCCCTGGAGGCAAGGATTTTTAAGCTTTATCTCACACACTTTGGGCATGTTTCCAGAAAGGATCAGTCTTTGGAAAAAGACATCATTCTTGGAAGGGTGGACAGTGCAGGAGGAACACCCTGGACGAGACAGATCAACACAGGGGCTGCTGTGAGATGGAGGGGAATATCTGTGAAAGTCCTTTTGAAGTGTAGGCTTTTTATTGTCCTATTTTGCCACAGTCCAGGTGGGAGGGAGCATTCTCTTTCCAGCCCCTATGGCATAACTATATCCTTCGGACTGCATCCTGGCATCTTTGTTTCCCTATCTGATGGTCTTCTTGAAGGCAGAGACCTAGTCTACTTGGCACAGAGAGGGTGTCAATGGATGACAGATGGACTGAAGCAGAATGGTGATATTTAGAGCTCCTGGCTGGTCCTGCCTCCAGGCTCCCTTCATATTCTCTACTTTGGACTGCATCCCTACTCCCTGTATGCTCCCTGCTCTTTTTCACCTGTATTAAACCACTCATTTCTGTACTTAAGCTTCCTTCTGTGGAGTCTTCCACCAGGAGGCAGAGCTTTTCTTGTTTCTAGGACTTTGGAAGGCCTGTTAGCAACATCTACAATGAAATGTGTTAGGAGTGTGTTACACCCCTCAGACTCTCCCTGCTTGTGATCTCAAGTTAGAGAGCCCCATCATTTGGTTCCCCAACACTAAAGGACATACTACATTGAACATTATCTCAGTGTGTCCAGCTGTTTGCAATCTACATGTCTAAGTTCTCTCTCCTTCCTCGGATCCAGTGGGAACTTAAGCTTTTTCTAGGATGAGGCTTTTGCAACCACAAGACTAGATGCCCTTAGATGAGATTGCACTCCACCATGAAAATATAAGCTCCCTTGTGGTTTCAACTTTTCATTTTGTTCCCCTGAATACCTACCATAGGTTCAACTATATTTGGAGGCATGGAGGGTCTAAAGAAGTATGAGTAACCGACCTTAAACTCAGGCTCCTTACGTGCAAGGCGTCTGAGCTCGCGGCTGAGCTGGAAAGCAGCCAGCATGGCATCCTCACTGGCCAGTGACAGATGGGCCCTGCTGGCAATGCCCCGGTAGGTGTTGATGCGGGACAATGAGAACTTCAGTAGGTCGTAGCGGCGGGCATTACCACACTCAAGGCAGGCACAAGAGACTGGGTGGGGCCGTGCAATGGTGTGACCTTGATCCATGAGCAACTGAGCAATCTCATACAGGTCCTTCTGACAGGCCAGGGTGAGTGGAGTGACCCCAGGTGCAAAACGAGAGCCATCAATTGAGGAGTCAAAGAAAGCCAGTGAGAAAGACCTGGTGTCTACTTTGCGGCCCTTTTCCCGTTCCAGCCGGGCCAGAAGGCGACGTACCACTGCTGGTTGGTTTGTATCCACTGCCACTAGCAGTGCTTCGTGGATCTGCCGAAAGTCAAACTTGACATTGGCCAATAGCACATCAGTGATGGTCTCATGGCCCAGGCGGATGGCCAGATTGAGAGCTTCCCTCCAGGAGCGGTCCTCAGCCTCTTCCACGTTCCGTGGGGGCCCACTGCCACCCGGGGCCTCTACATCTGCCTCAAGAAGCTGCTGCACAAGGCCCAGCCGTCCCTCCTGGATGGCACTCAGGAGTGGAGGTGGGAACTTTAGCTTTTTGTTCACAATCTCTGTCCAGTTAGGCTGTGGCTGAAAGAGTGGAGAAGGTAGGACCCCATATTTCAAGACCCTTTGTTTCTAAGTGCCCCCTTACCCTCTGGCTCCCAAGTTATTTAATCTTTGACATTCATCCCAACATTATATTATTGTCCCAAATACACACTATTAAATTTTTATTTACCATTTTATTGTTTGTGGTTTCTTAGGTTAGGAAAGTGCCAGATTTGGGTCTAAGTGGGAGGTCCTTCCTCAATCCAATTTCCATCCCCCACACAGGACCCTCACCACACACACAGTAGGGCCAAATGTGGGTATGTTAAAAAAAGTAGGGGAGGCTGGCATCCCATTTCCACATGCAGGCACAGAGAGTGTGCCCAGGACCTAGCTTTCATGTTGTTGACTTCATCTCCCATCTGCTCATTCCTAGGGAAATCCCAGAGTATCTGACAGGCAGGTCCAGACAAGTCCACCACACAAGAGTCTGTGAACTGTTTTTTTTCCCAGCCCTCTGGCACTGACCAGGCCTCTTAGCAAAGTCACAGTTGCTTCCCAACCAGATCCTCTTAGCTAGGTCTTCTGCTTTGGGGAACACTTCTCCCAGTTGCTCCCAGACCTAAAAAACTAAGCTCATCCTCCTCTTGAAACTTGGTCCTGGTTGAAGGTTCCTGAAGCTTTTCTCCCACCCACTGGCAATGCCCATACCGTGCTTGACAGCTAGACTGTTCTTGTTGCCTCTCTAAAACCAAACCCCACCATTCCATCTACCAGCAGAAATGGGACCACAATAGGGGAAGGTGGGGAGAAGGTCTCTTACCGTGAGGGGATCCATGAGTTGTACCCTGTTGTGTGGGCAGAGACTGAAAGACTGAACTCTTGCTGTCTGTTTTCCTGATGGTGCCTGGCGTTTTCTTTTCTACCAATTTAAAGCCCCGCCCTGGGCCCCTCCCATTGCCAGGACCAGCTGCGTCCCCTCTGCCCTGTACCTTGGGGGCCAGGGCTAGTGTTAGTGCCACACAATGAAATCTACTGGGAAAAGGATAGTTACTCAAAGAAGGCGGGAAGAGAATTTATAATGCTCTAGCTGGAGAGGATTTAGAGGCACTGTAGCCCAAATACCTCACTGTGCTGATGGGGAATGAGTGTTGCCCAAGGTTCCACAGCCCCAAACTGTTCCTCAGTCATTAACTTGTCTAGTTCCTATAATAGGAAGGGTTTTCTCTCTTAGTTACTGAAGGTCAACACTTGGCCCAGAATAAATAAAATACACAAAGTAATTTAGCAGAACCATTACCCAATTACAGAACAGGAACTCACAAAGGACACTGAGAGTTAAGGTCGCAAGGTGCTGAAATGTCAGGCTACTCTTCAAAACCACTGTTTTTCTTTTAAATAAGCCTCAGTTCTATTTCTAGGAAAATGGGCAAGAGGATGAGCTCCTACCACGGAGGGAAGAACTTCTGGACTGTGTTCTAAAACCCTAGAGAGATCATGAAATCCTATCCTTGAGGTTTCAAAGTGGAAAAAAGACAGGGAAATCCTTGGAATAATTAGGTTCCATGGTGACAGAAGTCTTGACAACTAGGAATAGGGAATAAGCTGCACCCAGAGCTGCCTTCACACAGAATCCTGAGGGAAATGGTGAGCAAAACGAGGGAAGAGCAGCTGGGCCTATTCTGCCCTTCCGGCTGTGTAGAGATCCCCATCCTGAGCCACAGCAGCACAGCATGGGGAGGGGATGTGAGGTCACAAGCACTCATGGCTCTTGGAACTCTCCACACACGCTGGCATGTTCTTCCACTTCTCCTGCTGAGAACTGGAATTGGCAGATAGGACACTGGACCCAGGAGTTGGGTGACGGGCTCTCTGGGGAGGGAATCCACACTACAGGTGGGGATGAAGATGGTGATGAGGAGGAAGAAGCTGGAGAAGGTGGTGAGGTCTCTCCACAAGTGGCAGCATGAAGGGGGAGAATCTCAACGGTGAAGGAGCCTAAGAAGGAGAGAAGGCGGTAAGTTTAAGGTGCCTACTTCAAGAGAGAACACTACTCCAAGCAGTCTACTGCCAAATGCAGTAAATTTACCACCATTCAATACTTCACACCAGAGACGCTTCCTGCTCATGTCTCCACCAGTCACTTACTGTTTACTATGGGAGGTAGAATCTAGTGGTGAAGACAAGTCTTAAACGCACATTACAATGACACAAAGTGGAAAGCAAAAAGTGTTAAACCTAAGGGAATCAGGGAATGCTATAAGAGTTTAGCTAGGAGACAGAACTTAAAATCAAATAAGACTTGGGCAAAAAAGTATGATATGAATAGACTTAAGAAATAAGTAGAAATTGAATATGAAGGAAATTCTAGGTTCTCTAGTTTGCACTGTATTGTTTCTGATTTCTGGTATTATTTCCTGAAGGCAGGCTCCATGTCTCTTCCTCACCTTACTGAGATTATCTGAGTATCTGATTATTGACCTGTCTTGAATTACAGTTGGCTAAAACTACAGACTGAATTATCTTAGCCAAGAATACTTAGTCACATCAACAAGGCAAAGAACAAGAACCATATGGTCCTATCA